TTTCTCTCTTTATCTCTCCCTCTCTTTATCTCTCTCCAGCTCTCTCGCTCTCTCTCTCTCACACACACATACTCTCTCTCGCCCTGTCTCTCCTTCTCTCTCTCTTTCTCTCTCTCTCCCTCTCTCTCTCTCTCTCTCTCTGTCTCTCTCTCTCCCTGTCTCTCTCTCCCTGTCTCTCTTTCGTAGAAATCCCTGAATTGCCCCAGAGTTTATGAATATTTTACCAGTTTCTGACTAGAGCAAACCCCACTAATCTTTGCCCGGGGGGGGGGGATTGGGGGGGATGCCAGGAAGAGGGAGGGGTGGAGAGAGGGTGTGGGGAGGATGGAGTGTGGAGGTGGGCATGTGGAGGAGGGGGGGAGGGCTTTAAAAAAAAGTTTTCTCTCTCTCTTTCTCTCTCTCTATTTCCCTCCTTATCTCTCTCCCTGTCTCACTCCATCTCTCTCTCTCTCTCTCTCTCTCTCTCTCTCTCTCTCCAGGGACGTGTTTCTATATCGGGGCTGGCGAGGAGTGCAGTTACCGCAGGATGCTAGAAACAGACCGACAAAAACGATGGGTAGCATGGCAGAGGGTCGTATCTAAAAAGTACGCGATTTCAGGGGAAATGTCTCCCGCCCCTCACTCACTTCCCTCCTACTTTGATGAAGGAGGGGCGCACATCAACACAATAATGGTCATATAGTGCAGGGAGGGGAAAAAATAGACAGAGAGAAACAACAGAGGGAAAGAAAGAAAAGAAGTAATAATAATAGATAGCATTTGTACAGCGCAAATCCCCGCTCAACAGCAAGCTCTCTGCGCTTCACAATCTATACCGTTATTACCCCAGCAGACCTGAGAGCATTCTGAAACAACCTCAACTTACAGTGTAAGCAGCCATTTATAGGCGCTAAAACACTAACATACTGACAAGATCTTTTGCTGTCTATGGCCGGGTACCCATGTCCACCTGGGTGAAGTGAGGAAAGTTCGTGTAAAGTGTCTTTCCCAAGGACACAACGTCGGGCCGAGCTGAGACTCGAACCCCCGAACCCGCAATCTCACGATTACGAGTCCGGTGGCTTACCACCCCACCTTGTTTATTCTCTCTTTCTCTCTTCCCCTTTTTAACTCCCAGTGGAGCACAGGCCATCAACAACATTACTCCAGCGAAGCCTGTCCTGAGCATCCTTTTCTATCTGTTTCCACCTTGTTTATTGTATAGCTGATATTCTTCGTTTGTATTTATTGAACACACAATAGAATTATGTTCTTGTTTTTGTTTGTTTGTTTGTTTGTTTGTTTGTTCGTTCGTTCTGGTAAGTGTTTCACGGCGCTCGCAACTGCATAAGGTCATATGAGCGCGCCAGACAAATTCAACATTTGCAGTTTGGTATGAAATTTTGAATTTTGTCCGATGGTTGAGAGAAGGGGGGTTGAATAATTGGGGGGTTTGGGAGAGGAGAGGAGGGGTATGGTGGTTTGGGAGAGGAGGGGTATGGTGGTTTGGTGGTTTGGTGAAAAGGGGGGGGGTGTGAATGATTGGGTAGTTGGG